CGTGTGGTTGCGTTTTGCTTTGATTAGTTGCTCCAAATTGGCTTTCTAATCTTCGTAATTCTGGAATTGAATCATCTGGACATAGGCACGGAAACATTGGAGTGCTTTAGTGTGTTTTTGATATACGTGAAATTGCTCGAAAAAAAAACTAATTTACATAAATTGAAAAAGATTTTAAAAAAAGCGTTAGCTGCGCAGTTTTCTATAGTTTATTTCGACTTCTGGATTTTAGAATGTTGGTGACAGTGAAATTCGAGTGAATGTTCATATATTCATGTTCGATCTTCTCTACTGGAACGGCGAATCATTGACAAGGCATCCGTTTCGAAAACGTCGAGAATTATTGCGGCAGCACTTCAAAGTATTTATTATTTTAGCAACTTACTTTCCGAAGACTGGAGACAAGATGTGGAGAGAAAGGAAGGAACGGTTCCTTTTTGGTTGCTTTCTGTGATCAGAATGAAGGGCAACAATGCGATGGAGCAATTTACATTTATTTGAAAAACCGCTGCATTACTTCGCCAATGATTTATACTCGGAGCCTTCTCTTACTACTAATGTTCATTACACAATTAATTTAACTTCTTAACTTCGGTCATGCCAATCGTCGTACTGAAGGATCCAATTGTGGTAACTGGTAAGAAATGTATACGACTTAATGAACGGAAAAATTTCTTACTATTAGTAATAATCTCATAAATTTTCTAATTTTCAGTACTTACCGTCCTCTTTTCCTTTTTTTTTTTTCTTTTTTTCTCTTTATTTCATTCTTTTTATCAAAAATTTCTATTTGAAGTAAGCATTAGAAATGCATTTTTTCGGAGATTTTATAAAAAAAAGGAGCCGAAGCGATTACAGTCTTTCTCCCCCAGCGTACGTGGGGTCACCTTGTGCTTGGTGAATGATTTTGCTAACATGTCATTCCATTTCTTGAATATTTAGGAAGTTGAAGGCGTATGCGGATTTGCTGCATCCAAGGATACCGAGGATACCGAACAAATTGCTGAATATTTGGATGAAGCCGTAAAGGGTAACTGTGAGGGGTTGATGATCAAAACACTGGATTCGGATGCCACTTATGAAATTGCAAAACGATCACATTGTTGGCTAAAAGTATGCTGATTTTTTGATATTTTCTTTTTTTTTTTTTGAGAAATAAGATCATTTGTTGATTCGTAGTTTGGTTTAGATATACGAAGCGCAAACCCAATTGCTTTGGCGAATACTGCTTGAAATTTTGAGGGCTTTTAATGCAGAGTAAGCGGGATCAAAATTTGACGATATCCTAACATCCTTTTTCTGCGGACATCAGGAATTTAGCAATTCAGACTGGACAGATATGCCGCCCCTGCATTGTTCTTTGAAATGATTGTTCAGAGTTAGGAAAAAAATTAGGATTTCAGGATTTTTTAGGAAATTTTTTTTAGGAAAAAATTTTGTAGAAAATTTTAGGAAATTGAGTTTTTTTTAAATGATGTGAGCTGGTTATAGATTTATTCGTGAAAAATGATCTTTGACTGATTCTCTGTTCCATTACAGCTTAAGAAGGATTATTTGGACACGATTGGTGATACTGTGGATCTGATTGTTATTGGTGCCTATTTTGGTACCGGTAGAAGAACGGGAGTCTACGGTGGCTATCTGTTGGCATGCTATAATCCGGAAAATGAAGAGTATGAGAGCATTTGCAAGGTAACTTAAATATGGTCCAGTGTTTGCGAAAATTTCCTCACTCTACAAACAAAAATGTTACGGGGCAAAAATTGATGATTCGACCCCATCAGTGAGACAACCAATCTCTGTACAATTCATTTTAATTCGTTTTGATGGTAAGCTGGTACTGGCATTTTGCCAAGTAGCCAAATCTGTCGCGAATTTCCTCTTAAGCAGTTCTCGGAAAAAAGTGCCATTAACAACCTTGCCAACGAGGTGTTTCCTGCTAACAGGTGCTACCATTTTGGACGACTTCCAACTGCTCTAACTTTTCGTACAGGTTTAATACGGAAAGGTTTCCATTTTTGATATGCTTTTACATTGTGCATTATTGTTGAGCGTCCAGCTTCATCGTCTGAAAGCTTGATTTTCAGATTGGAACAGGGTTTGGAGATGAAGACTTTCGAGAACAGTATGAATATTTGGAAGCGCATCGCATCAAAGAGGTTTTTTTTTTCTAGTTTTTTTTTTTTTAAATATACGGGATCATGTTCTAGAAGAAATTTCCACACAGAAATATTCACTCAGAAAAAATACTCATTGTTATGTTGACGTTTTAAAGTTTTTTTTTCTTTTTTTTTTTAATGAATACAACAGCTTTTAAGAGTAATTTCAGTTCTCATTCTTAAACCGCTTTTTACTGTAGTAATTTCTAGGCTCGCCCATACTATTCGTATGTAAGCTCGCTAAAGCCGGATGTTTGGTTTGATGCAGAAGTTGTGTGGGAGGTGAAAGCAGCTGATCTATCAATTTCACCCAAACATCTTGCCGCCAGAGGAATTGTGAGCGTTTTTTTTTTTTTTTTTAGTTTTTCAGATTGCTGCAGTGATCTGGAATTGACAAAAATGAAAATTGGCTGGAAAAGAAGTAAATTTTAGGGAAATTACAGGTGCAAATTTATGTGCGCAAAGTGATGGAAGAAGGAAGTTAAAATTTAGGAAAATAGAGACAAAGTGAGGCATATGGGGAGGACTGAAATTGCAGATTTGTCCAGTACATTTCAAGAATTCTGAATACTAGTTTTTTTTTTTTTTTGTATTTCACTTCGAGGCTGTAAAAAAATTGAAAATGAGCCTGGAAATTGGCATTTTCCAGGACAGGGAAGTTTTCCAAACCTTTGTTAAGTTATATGTCATCTTTCATTTAGGGATTTGTTATTGTACAAAGTTTTACTTCTTTTCCACACTGTTTTTTTGTGTTATCTTTTATGGTACTTGTCTTCGAATTACGTGCAGCTTATTTTATTACAGATAGATCCTGAGAAAGGAATTTCATTGCGATTTCCTCGATTTGTTCGAAGGCGGACGGACAAGAAGGCAGATGAAGCTACTACCTCGGAACAGGTTGTTATTTATGGAGAATTTTTATTTTTGAGGTATTGATAGTCTGGTTTTCGATTTATTCAAGAATTCAGCCACAAAATGAAAAGTTTTTCAATCAGGAAAATTTATCCGTTGTTAACTGTATTTTTATTTGAGATTTGAATTTTCAGAATTCTTTAGCGGTTAGAAACCAGCAAGCTAATTATAACCTGCAGACGGAGCATTGGTGCGGCACACCGCCATAGTACATTATGCTATACCGTACACCACGCTAAAACACCAGGTTGTACTCTAACAGTACAGTATACCGGGCAGTACACCATGACGCATTATACGCTTAAGCGCTTTTATAACATGCAGGGCAGATGCTATAAGACGATCATTTGTCGCTAACATTTTGTAGTTAACAGTATGACCTGGTACAGTACAAAATCTCGCTACGGTACAATAGGAAGGCTGTGAATGTGGTACTGTATAATTGCAAGCTAATGTTAATAAGTGAGCTATGCTTGTCGATCAAACGAAGTGGACTATAATTTGGCCGTTTCTTTTCGGTTCAGAAAAGCTACCGTTTTGGTTGAAATGTCTTCGAAATAATTAAGTTAGCTCAGCGGTGTACTGTATACCGTACAGTACACCATTGCACTACAGTAGGCTTCACAGTACGCCACAGTATGCCGCCTTCTGCGTTATACGATTTTTTCGTGTGTAACTTCAGCCACTGTAATGGTTTCTTGATTTCAATTTGTGCAGAGTTTGTTTTTGAAAAATCAGATGTAGTATCGTTGCTTTCATGTATGCCTACATTCTAATTTTTGTTTACATATTAATTTCAGATAGCGGAAATGTATAAAAGCCAGGAGCAGATCAAAAATGCTTTACCGGGAACGGCCGGCAATGAGGATAATGATGATTTTTATTAAGCATTTCATTGTTTTCTGTTTTGTTTGAATTTTTCTTTATTTTCGAATTTTATTCCTTCTTTGTGCTGTTGTGTGCTTGAATGTGATTCACTTTGAGTTGATAGGCTGGTGTAGAATGTTAAGGATTTGACTTAGCCAGTCGGATTATCTATCCCTTTACTATTTGCTCACTCGCTTTTGCTGGTAATTTAGTGTTGGCGCATATTAGGAATCAAACCCGCCACCAGCTTGCTTGTAAGCAACCCTCGGAAGAGGATTTCTTAGAAAATCTCGTCTGTAGATGATTGATTGTAGAACGTGCTTTCGCCTGACCATTTCCGAATGCTTTTGCATTTCACAGAGAGTAAATGTTGACTTTCAACTTGACGTTTACAGGTTGTTATTTACAGAAGTTTGTTTAATGTCAGTGAACAGAATAAATGCTTTAATTCAGCAAATTTTCACAAGAAAGCAAGAAATTAGAAAAATACAGAAATACGATTACCTGTTACGGTCATCTGCCTACTACCCCCAAAGTAGAATAAAGTCCTACCCGTGGAATATGAAACACTAGAATACAACGGTCGGTGTCAAGATTCTGTTTCTTTTGATTTAACTTGGAATATGAAGCACTAGAATACAACGTGTTATTAGTTTCATAGCTGTCCACATCAGTTTTACTATTGTTTTTGTATTTATCACTGTATCGAATTAACATTTTAATCACTATTTGTTCATCCAGTTCTTGCGCGAGTGAAAACTCAGAAAATTGAACTGATTGCTACAGATAGAGGATGCGGTAAAAAGTATTTCCTTAGTTAAATTTTGAAATTCATTAATACTTGGAATATCAGTGAAACCAGTTAATACTACGTAATCTGATTCTCCAACTCAGCAGTTAAATGCTTTCAGTCGATCTCAAGACAATGATTGGCGTGTCGTTGTGGATTATTGAGAACAAAAAAAGCTCAAATCCATCTTGGCAATCGAAAGAGAAACGGGTTAGCACATTCTCGCACATAGACTCCGAGATAGATGCTCATTTGGGATTTTTACCGCGGTGGCACAAGCAAACTCGGAAGTGTCCAGTTGGCGACTTTACCAGCTGCTTTAATCAGAGCTTGATCATCTCATAGTCAGTGTGCTGATGACCCTGTCCGTCCATTTTGTCTCCTCGAATCCGGTGAGCGCCAAATGCACAAGCAAGCTGATGTGAAAGCATACTGTCGTTTGTTTTAGGAGTGAAATTTTTGACCGTAATAATAGGTTTATGCCCTCTCAATCTCTACTACCGTCCGCAATGCATTTTCACTGCCCTCTCAATCATTGCTTCTCTTCTGAAACCATGCTGTTGAGCGGAACGGATGCCCTCTCAATCTCTGTCACAGGCCGCGCTGTATTTTCGTTGCCCTCTCGATCTCTGTTTCTCCTCTAAAGCTGATTTGCAGGACTAAAGGAGTGCCCTTTCAATCTCTGCCCGAGTACGTACTGTATTTCTGTTACTTTCTCAATCTCTTGTGGTCCCTCATCTTTTATATTACAGATTCAGTGGAGGACCTGAGATTGAGAGGGCAGCGAGATATAATGCGATTGGTGACTGAGATTGAGAAGGCGTGTGAAATATCGCGGAACTGGTTAACAGCCTAAGAGAGGAATTTCTACTGCAAAAATGTGCGAAAATCAACTTTCAAACTTCTCTTTACAAGAATCTTCTTACTTAAATGCTTATTCGAGTAGGCAAATTAAGGACAGTGCCGGGGGTTGCGGAATTTCTACCTGATAAGCAAAAAACTTCACAGTTCTGTTTTGAAAACACATACATTTTCAGAAAATGCGATACATTCATTCATCAAATATATGTGTATATATATTTATGTTTATCCATCAAATATACCACATGTGTACATGTACACTGGTCGCAAAAATACAAAAAATATGATATTATCCGCTTCAAAATATGCGTACTGCAGATGAGAGGGGATGCAAAACAAAGAACAATGAAGACAACTGCTGGCAGCATTAGTGACAAGAAGAAATTCGACGATCAAAAAACAAATACTTAAAGTATCAAAGTAAAATTAGCATCCAAAAGCACATAAACATTCGAATAAAGCAGGTTTATGTCACTGGAACCATAGCAATACCAACTGGGCATACGTCATCTATTTTTTCTCCTTTTGTCCAGGGTTTTACAGTAACCTGATGTCGAGTTTCTTTGCCACATAACTTTTTACAGAATAAAACAATCGGCTGCCGCAAAGCGCCAATAAAGCACAGGTCGATGAGAGCTCTCAAAAACTTGTCCCACACAGCAGCAATTGAATAAATAGTCGTAACTGTATAAAGCAGAGGTGATCCAACGAGCAGCTGTTGAAACAAAACCGGTAGTGTGTACAAGGTTAGCGGTATAAGTGCCTGAAAAAAAAAATTTCGATTTATTAGCGTTTTCGGGGAAGGAGAACCATTGCCCATGGATGGTTACTGCTGACCAGATGTATTA